TCCTCCTGATGCACCCCAGGATCCCATTGGCTTTCTTGGCAGCCAGGGCACACTGCTGGCTCATGGTTAACCTGTCGTCCACCAGGACACCCAAATATAAGGTGCATATATATATATATGCATATATATATGCATATATAAGCAGAGGCTTCTCTGCATGAAACCCCATTTAGCATCGCTCCGTGCAGCTCTTTTCCAGAAGCGAGGCCGTGTAAAAATTCCCCTTTTCTGCTGTCTGCAGCTTTTTTGTCTCCCAAGCACCCACCCCTGCCCGGGGGTCCCCTGCCAAACCCCCTCTGGCTGCCGTGCGCTCCACCCCAGCGCAGCAGCCCCTCTGCATCACGAGATGCTCCCCCCCGGCGCGTGTACCCAGCGCGCCCGCACCCCTGCCCCAGGCCGGCAGCGCCAGGACCAGCACAGCAGAGGTTGAGGTGATGTTTTTATCACGTGTGGGTGCACGTCCTGGGGAGCAGCCACAATGTGTTGTTGGAAAACCAAAAAAAAAAATAAAAAAAGATGAAGAAAAATGGGAAAAGATTGGGGGGGGGCGAAAAGAATGCAAATTCCAGAGAGCATTGGAGGTCACACGGGCAAAAAGCCATGCCTGGTGAAAAGAAGGGATAAAGATGGCCATCAGGGTGGGGGACAGCCAGACCCTGGGCAGGTAAATGGCACAAGCTGCTATCACTACCAGTATTACCATTCACCGAATCACAGAATCGTTAAGGTTGGGAAAGACCTCTGAGATCATCAAGTCCAACTGTCACCCCAGCACCCCCACGCCTGCTAAACCATGTCCTGCAGGGCCACATCCACATGGTTTTTGAGCCCCTCCAGGGACGGGGACTCCACCACTGCCCTGGGCAGCCTGGTCCAATGCCTGGCCACTCTTCCAGTAAAGCAATTTTTCCTAATACCCAATCTATTCTTACTGTCAACAACAGAAATCCTGCTGTAAGAATCAAAAGGTTATCACATATTTATTCAGAAATTAGTTCTTGGTACAGATATTAGAGAACGCTCGATCCTCCTGATAAACTAAAATAATAATAATAATAAAATCTTCATTTTCACATTAAAGAACTGTGTTCAGTTCTGTTTTTTAGCAGTGCAGTGAAACCGAGGGACAGCCTGGAGGCAGGTCCCCGCTCGCTCCCCCCGTACCTGTCCTCCCTTATCCTGGCCAGCAGCGGGCCCAG